TCGTTTTGTTTAATTTATACTTGGACATTTTTAGGTAAAGAAAAATAAAAAAACACAAAATTTCCAAAAAAATGAGGTTTCAAAAAATTTCATTTCACCTAAATTTGGTAGGCAATACTTATAATATAAAAGGATTTTTTTTTTTTTGGAAACAAAATAATATTTTTGTGTCCTTTTATAAAAATCTGTGTTAATGGAACAAATAGGCAATTATTATATTTCATGTTCATATTTTATGTCAAAAATAATTATAGCTAATATTTCAAAAATTCAAAAATCGCAAAATTATTCTAATAATGAAATTCGAAAAAGTCAGAGGCGATACTATTAAAATGTTTTAACAAAAAATTCAGTTAAATTGCCATTAAATCATTAAAAGATTTGTTAAGTTAACATTGGAAACTATAAATGAAATTATATTTAGTTTAAATTCATAAAATTCTTGTCGTTCCTAAAAGAATAAAATATCAAGAAAAATTCTTGTACTTTATACAAGAGATTGTTAAATAAAAAATAATTTTATTCGGTTATAGTTAATTTTACTAAAACTTACTAGAAAAATTACTCAACTTGTTAAACAACTTGTCCATTTAAATATTCACTTAAATTATATGAACCCACAATTCTTGTAATTTTTTTTGATTTTATAAGAAAATTTAATAATTTTGTGTTAAAAAAAAAGAACAGGTTTCGAACTTTAGCAACTATTTCAATTTTTTCTAGAGTTCAAAAAACTTCATTTTATATAAGTAATAAACGTTCCACATAAAATACAGTCAAACCTGAATTAATAATACCCCGATTAGCGACAAGTTTCCCTAGCCTGATCTTAATTATCTTCCCTTACAATGAATATTGTCAATATTGTACTTTGCTAGTTTGTAAATTTTCTAGTAATGTAATTAATTTTAAGTTAAAGTTCTTTGCCCTCAGTAAAATCAAGTAATTCTTTAAAATTAGTCATCTATATTCTATAAAGTAGATTAGTTAACTCTATTAGCTCTCAACGCTGTAACTGGAATAGTGAAATAGCTTATACTTAATAAGTGAAACAAATATAGTCCCATACGACACCTATAGTCTGTAAATTTAACTATATTTTATCTAAGTTTAACTGTATTTTAATATTACGAATACATAGTATGATATACATACACAACATTATAATAAATATACATACGCACTCACATCGGTATATACATATTCTATATACTCGTATTATGTATTATATCGAAGTATTTTTAGTTTGGCGTACTTGGAAAGAAAATATTATGCATAAATATTGAGACGCCTGTCTGGCTGTTAAGTTTTGCTGTTATTCGTATTATTTTCTCTCAATTTTCTCTTTGATTTTTCTCATCTCTATTTTAACAAAATAAAATATAAATAAAAAATTTAAAACTATAGTAAAATTATAACTATATTTACATTTACATATACTTAAGCGCTATTTATAAAACTATCTGAACACACACACTTATATACGTACATTATGTTGTGTCTACATATAATGTATGTACAGTTGACATATTTGTAATTTAGGATTTTCTATTTTATTGTTATTTTTTTGTTTTTTTTTTTTGTTGGTTTCCCAATTTTTGTTTTTTGGTCTCTGAAATATATTTTCAATTTTTCATGACCCCATAAAGTATAACAAAGTTCTGATATAATTTTATACTACTTGTATATGCTATACGAGTGTATGTATGTATATACGAGTATGTACTCTCCTTGTATATTTTAACGACGATAATTGTAAAAGTTTTTATTTTATTTTTTTTGAAGAACTACAAAAATAATCCAGAATAGGTATAATCCAGTATATAATTCAGTATATAAATATATACATATTTAACCTATAAAATTAATAAGAATTTTTGAGCTTAAAAAAATATGATGAAAATCACTATGAGCTAACGCACACATACACGCATGATCAAAAACGAATTCAATATATAAAAATTGATTGAGAAATTTTTGAAAAGAAAAAATTTTAATTTAGTCTGTTATCCGCCTGTCTGTATGCTCGTCTGTGCGCTCTTGTGCGTTCTTCTACTTTCAAAACTACTGTAGTCTGTTTAAGATACAAAACAGAAATTTTTTAGGTTTAAAGCTGGGACAACTCATTATAATGTCAACAATTAACTTAATTAAATATGTGCTTACTTCTTATACGGGAATTGTATAGCTATATTTGTATTTTTTTTTGTAATTTTAATTTAATATATAAAAGGATATATTTTGATATATCCTTTTAGAAATAAATTCTATTTTATAAATTTTAATCTTAAAAAAAAAATCTATAAAAAAAGTTCTTTTATAACAAATATTTACTTTCATTCTTTGATTCTTGAATTCAAAATTAAACTCCTGTATATTCCGAAGATATATACATAATACCTACATACTTGTTATAGAAAGACAGAATTTGATACAGAAAAAAAATTGTTCTATTTATATGCTTATGCATTTTATATACATATATTTTATTCATTAATATATTAAGGATTAAAAATAACAACAAAACGAAAGTAAATATGTATTGGAAAAATTCTTAACCGAATCTAATCGAGTTAAAGAAAAACCCGAATGACAAATTAGATAAACTCTAATTACAAAATATTTTGTTTGTATGTGTTACATGTTAAATACATATTTATACATAGATATGTATTTTTTTTCTTAATAATTTTCCAGCTTTGATGCTTATTTTATTAAAAATAATAAGAGTATTATTTCTGATAATTTAAAAACAAACTTACAAAACTATTTTGAAATAAAATGTCCTCATTTTAAGAGGCAGAAAATATAATTTTAAAATTAATTTTTATTATCCCATATTCTCTTATTTGCATCACTTGACGTGATGTCCTGCTTTTCAAAAATTTTGAGTTTTTCAAATTTTATTAAATTAATTATCAAAAATTATAAAATTCAAATTTTATAGTGAAAACAAAAATACTTTTCAATAATACCCCATCGCCTCCAGTGATGCGACCAACACAATACGCGGGTGATTATTTTTCGAATTATTTCAATTTCGTTGACTGACTTATTACAGATTGCAATACTAATATTTAAACGTGTATTTTTACGAAAATAATTTTATTTTTCATTTTTTGTTCTGTTTCTGTGCCCAGATATTTTACAGGGATATTGTTATTCGTATGAGAATTCTTTAAACTTGATCTAAAAGGTATATCGATTAACAATATTGCCATATCATAAAATTTATTTGTGCAAATTTAATCATTTTGAGTAGTACATTAAGAATAAAGTTTTATAAATTACACCAATTATGTAATATAATCTTACAAGATCAATGCAAACCATTATGAAACGCGTACCTTAATAACTCTTATTGCATACTTCTACTTAAAATAAGTTCTTTATTAAAATTATTGGATCATATACAAATACCGCCTTATCTAATTCACAAATTATTTCAAATAACTACACTCAGACATGAAATATTATATATTAAATTAAATATATATACGAATTATAATATATGCATATCTATACATTCCTAACAACACACCGAAATTAATTAAAGAAAAGAAAGTCTGTTTGACTACAAATGAAAATTTCCATTTCTAATGAATATTATGGCAGCATTATAATATGAAGAAAACGTATAAAAAAAATATTCAAAATAAAATTAGCATAAATAATTTTTAAACCGTACATATATACATTTTTATCTACACACAAAATATTCAAAAGAAAGAATATTAAAGTAAATAAAAATGTGTACAAAAACTTTACACAAATAAAATTAAAAATACAAAATTCAATGTTAAATCTTAAAAGAAAAAAAAAAATTGAAAAATTTTTTTCTCTCCTTTTTTCCCATAAGTCACTTTAAATTCTAAACGCATACAAACGCAAAATTACAAACACACACATATTTTACTTGGTATTCGTTAATTTTAAGGGAAAAAATGTTCATCTGATATTTTCGTGAAAACTTTCCTTGAAAATCTCTTATATTACATAATGTGTGTATTTTTTTTTTAAATCGAAAGATTTACTCTCGGATAAACACATAGCTCTGAGGTAGAGGCATTGTAAAATTATTATATTTAATGCTCGAATTCGAAATATTATTTTATTTGTTTTTTGTTTAAATTGAAATTAATCCCACAAATATGTAGAATTGTAATAATTTACGAGAAATAATAATTACAGTTCTAAAATATTAAATATTTTTCTATCATTATTTGAGTATATTTAAACTAGTTATTTCACTCGCATTTAACAACATTCCCATGTAAAACAGTTCTACATTTATCAAATATTCAGAGAAATTTAATGATAACGTAAATAATTAATTTAATAAATATTATGGAATCCCTAAATGAAATTGTAAGCAGTAATCCAGCACTGATTGCTAATATATGCAATGGAAATGCTTTATTAACGTATTTGCAAATCAGAAAAATTTTAAATACAAAAATTACTTTATAGAGTGACAAAAATCATAAAATTTTATAATTATTATATTTTAAAACAAAATTATTTTTAATGGACTGCGAAAATAATTGTTATAATAAAATTTTTTTTAGCACATTGACATTTTATAAATTTTTACTGTTTAATAAAAACAAAAATAATAATATCAAATTTAAGTAGGTCATTATATTAATTTCAATTCATGATTGTCCATACGTTTAAGTGCTTTCATTTTAATGGAGCCGTTACTCTTTTTAGTACAATATATTATTCTATAATTAATATCCACCATTTTCTTCTGTATATAGTTACTGTTTTGTATAAGTATTTCGTGCTTAAATTCTGACCTACAATAAATTTTTTAAATTTTATTTTTTTATTTTTGTTCAACCGCTTTATTTGCATTGAAATAATTGTTTTATTTTAATTAAATAATAATTATTATTGTATATAAATAGCAAAAATAAATTTTAATTGATCTAATCTCATTAAATTTTTTTTTTTTTTGTATTTCACTCTCTGATAATGTTTTCTATTTATTTCAGGTAAGTGGTCCAGTTACCAAAATGATTTGATAATATGCCAATTATTTTGATTTGGTAAGCATGATTTTACAAAAATAAAAAAATAAAAACGAATATTTAAGACTATAAAAAATTTAATTGTATTTACATATGTATAAGCAATTATTGAAAATATTTTTGAATTTGTATGCATAATAAATAATATGTAATTGACATACATTTTGTAGATTTTAATTATTTATTAATTAAATATTGCTAATACATTGGTAATTATTTAAAAAAAAAAAATAAATAGAAAAAAACGAGAAAACATAGAGTTGACCTTGTCAACTCTGTGATACCCGTACGAATTTGTTATGCTATATTTGCGAATAAATATGCCATAGCTGATTATGGGACAGACTATGACGTTAAGTTACCGTATTACCATATTAATTTATGCAAAATTTCAGTACTGTGTTTTTCAAAATACTGTGTGTGCCAAACTACTATTGAAGTTGTATGGCAGCTACTAGACAGAACCAAACAATTTTAAAGAATTTTATCAAACACATCGGCCCTTTTAATATATTCGCTTGTGTAAAATATCAATATTACAGCTTTTGTAATTTCTGAGATATAGCCAAATAAATTTTAAAATTGTATGGCAGCTACTCGAACCAGTACCCTAATCATTTCCAATTTAAACAGTGTTCTGGCATTTACATTTACTACAATAAATCATTTGTGAACATTTGGTGAACTTAGCTTAATTAGTTTTTGAGTTATCGCTAAGACGGACGGACAGACAAAGCTAAATAAACTCAGAATTCGACGCTGATCAAAAACATACGCTTGAGTCTATATTTCAGAGCATTATATCTTAGCGGTACAAACGGTAAGGCTAATTTAGTTTTCCCTTCGAATATACGTTCGTACGGGTATAAAAAGAATAAGTATGTAAACATTTTTCAAAAACTGAGTCTAGGCTATACAATGTGTACAAACAGAATTGGAAATTTTTACATTATAACGCAAGGCGGTTTTGTAATTGCCTTCAAATAAATGAAACTTTAATTAAATGTTAAAGATCGAATTTGGTCCACAAAGCTGAAGCTTTCATTGAAATACATAATAATATGTATACTCGTAATGTGTGATAATTTTCCTAAGTATAATACAGTTTTTGCAAGAAATTTTTTGACAGTACCACGTGCATGTGTGCACTTCAAAATACATCAAGAGAATCTAGTGAAACAAAAATTTGAATGTACATCAAACATTAAGTTATTGTTCATTAAAATGCTTAAGTAATCCTCGTCATCATTAATATAGGAAAAAATACTTCAACACTAAATCAACCAAACACCAAATCAAGTATTCATGTATCATATAGGACTAAATGCATTCTTAACGAAAACAAATTTTGATTTTAGATTGTCCTTAATTTTATATGAAAAATCGAATTATTTATTTCATAGTTAATCGGCATTGAAATTAAAATTGAATTTATTAAAAAAAAAATGAATTTCAAATTAAACTTAAGTTTAAGAAAACTTATTAACTCATACCTCACATTTTGAAGTAGTTCTAAATTAACATTCAGAGTCTACTCTATCTGAACATAAGATCGATTATCTTCGGAAATTTTTATATAATTTTATAGCAGTTCTTAATTTCATACAAGTGAAATGAAATACTACATTGTATGTAAGAACAACTCAAATCACTCTAAAATTTCTAAATATTTGTCGAATTTCAAATGACATTTTATATAAATATTCAAATATAATTAAAAAATTTTGATACAATTAGTATACCTATATGATTTACCACAAATAAAATTACATAAGTAAATTCAATAACTGAACCTAAAATATTAAATTTAATAATTAAATTAAATATATTTAAAATGTTCAAAAGAAAAATATTTTAATATAAAATGAACTCTTTACACCCATTTCTTAATAAAATTATCATGATATAATCTGAAACCCTCACAAAATAAGATGAAACGTTTCAATTTTCACTTATTTATCACAAACCATAACCAATTAAACTAATGAAATTTTTTTTTTTCGTTTTTATTTTATACAATCTTGGTTGATTATGTACGAATAAAATATTTTAAAATTTTTGAAATTTTTATTGCTCCTTATATATGTAACCGCAATATTATATAATATTATGTATGTATTTATGTGTATATTTAATATTAACTTTACATACATATTATATATGTATCCTTTTATATCTAGGATTTTTAATATTCTTAATTAGTTTAGGAAAATAATATACATAAACTAAATTAGGTCTTTTTATGGTTAAATGTACTTTCTATAATCCCAATTGAGTACATGCTGATGTTAAAGTCGAATAAAAATTAAAAGGATTCTTTGTTTCCTGTATATACATGGTATATGTATCCGTAAATTTTGTTCTCTTTGAAATATCTCAAAAATATATACAACATAACACAACGAAAAATAAATTCTATTATGTTGTAATCTAACAAAAAAAAAAAAAAATAAAATATTGAAGGGATTCCCAATTGAATTTTAACCCGACTAATAACATAAAGTTCAAAAATTTTTCAAATATCTTAATAGAATATTTTTAGTAAATAAAATTTTTTATACATATACCCATTTTTTTCGGTACAGATTTTCTCATTTTCCTTATTTTATATTATGCTCATGTAACATCCTTTTTTTTTTTTTGTTAATACATAATACAAATTTTTAATTTTGTCTTTTTCATTTTTCATGCATTGCATATTATTATGAATTGAGCTAAATAGCATTAATATTCAACAAGTAGCGCAAAGATAGATCACACTTCTAAAAATTAAAAAAAAAAAAAATGAACATTTTCGACATAAGAGTCACATTTTTCTAAGATTAAAATTGAAATTTAGCTGTGTGTTGAGAAGCTAAGACATGATAAAGTTTTAAACTGCAATTAAATGAGCCAAAAGAGCAAAATGTCTTGAATAATAAATAATTTAATTGTTCAAATTAATTTCATTTTAAAAAAATAATTTTATATTACTCGGAATTAAAGGTTTTGGTGTTTGAATTTTGAGAGTCTAAAAATTCATACTTATATTTTTATAGAAGATGAGAGTTTAGATGACTTGAGGAAAAGTTTTTGGCAAATTATTTAATAAAAGTTCTCATACACATTTTAACACACACATACATACTTACATAGTAACAAAAAATTATCAAAAATTTTATTTTTTTATATTGAAACTTCATATAATAATTAAATTGTTGGTATGGGATTTTAGTTGAAATTTTAGAGGCGCAACATTCGCGAACAATTTAAAATATTTGAAAACTATTAATTTCTTTAACTAGAATTATTTATAATAAATTCTTAATGATTTACAATATCCTTGCAATATTATTTTAATAGTGTATGCTCTGTTCATGATCAAAAATTAATTTACTACACTGAACAGAATAATGTCTTTTGCATTCTACTGGTATTATGCGATGTGTAATTTACTGATATCTTTTAAAAGAGTGTACTGGAGCCATTAATATACTGCACTTTGTATATTACGCTCGCCTTCTTCTGCAATTTTCTCAATATTATTTCAAAATTTAAATTATTTAAATTTTTTAAAGATTAACTTAAAATTTTCAAATAATAAATTTCTTGTTTTTAAACCAAAATTTAATTTTTAAAATCTTTAGAACAAAATTTTCTAGTAGTAAAATTTGAATGTAGAACTAAAATTTTGCACTATCAAGACAATGTCTATCAAGATTTAGATTTAAACTGTATAAGAGTCTTTAAACATAATCAACCGTAAGAAAAAGGAAAAATTAATTCAAATAACTTACTAAATTCTTATATTTTTTCATAAAAATATTTTAAAATAATTTGAAAAGATTTTGAAATTTTTTTGGACAATCTTTTTTTTTTTTCAGAATGTGTTTATTAAAACTAACTTAAATGTATATAATTTATTAGTAAAATTATTTAACCACAAACTTAATAAAATTTGACAGTGACTTTAAGAGGATTTATGAGAAATACCGTAAAAAAAAAGGGTGAAAATCTTTTAAATATATTCTAAGAAAATTTTATTCCTTTCCTCTCTCGTCTTTTGAATGAGATTTGAAAAATAATGTTCAAATGTATATATATACTCGTAAAATGTTCATGCATCTTTTATACACACATATTACATTTAAGCATATGAAAACATAAAGGGAGGGGGTAAAATGATTAGAAAAAGTAGAGAGATGGAGTAATTTGAAAACACCTTTTTTAAATTTCATTAAAATATCGTGTATGTATGTTATATATAAAATTACATATCTATAAACTTATGTAAAAACATTCTCATTGTATAATCTGTAGAAATGGAAAACCTTTATACGTAAACATATAAAAAAAAAGGTAAAATAAACCCTATTCTCCTTTTTTCATTTCCTAGCATAGATATTTTATTTTTTTTATTTTTTTTTTTTCAATATCCTTAAGTTTATTGTTGTTATTCTTATTATTTTCTCCTCTTGTTTCGGGTATTATTGTAGTTGTTGTTTTTTTTATTACTGATATATTATTTTGAAGATAGTAACCCAGTTTCTTTTTTTTTACATATGGGATACAAAATAATATTTACAATAAACCGGTTTCTATATCCCATTCGAACAAAAGTTGACAAATATACATATCTATACATAGATATGTACATATTCCTAAAATGACGTTTTTTGAATCATACGTATATATATATAATTTATACAAATAGAATGTTTTCAATATTACTAAATTTATAATTTATAAATTCAAATTGTGTATTAGATAATGTACATACATGGATAGGTACGCATAATATATGTAAGGTAAAGGTATACAGAAAACAAAAAGTAGAAGCAGATTTTATAAAATGAAGAAAACAACAGAAAGTAAATTACATTTGCATATACACGCACACATATAAATTAAGGTACCAAAGCAATAATATAAAAAATAAGGGAAAATAATCAACCACATTGTGTAATTTTCCCGATTTTCGATTCACACAGAATTAAACACATTTTCTTGGAAAATCCTTACATTTATCAAAAAAAATC